CCCAACATTGGGTTAGTCCATATTTGGCCCAACATTGGGTTAGTCCATATTTGGCCCAACATTGGGTTAGTCCATATTTGACCCAACATTGGGTTGAAACAACCCAGCATTTTTTAGAGTGTATTATTATTATTTTAAATGTATTACATATTACAATGATTACTGTTGTAATTATGTTATTTATTTTTTGTATTTGTTGTGTGAATTGTCAATAAATAAATTATTTAACCAAAAATACATAAAAACCCCCAAGTGTGGGTATTGGGAGAGGACCATGGTCTTCTTTACAGTGGCCATCTGGGTGAGCGTTACGTTACGTATTTAATATTCATTGCCCAAGCCTTTACCATAGTAGGTTTAGTCATTTCACTTCCTGTGAGTTCGGAGTGCTACTCCACCCCCTGAGCGCGAGATGTGTGTTGAAGATAATAATAGAAACAGGGCAGGGTCCAACAGACAAACGCGCTTCAGCCGAGTGCGATTTCGCAATTTAATGACATAAACGCAATGACATAAACAGGAACGACAGGACTGAGGAAACGCGTTTGATGTCTCGCGGTGAAACGGCTTGACACGACGCACGCGGAGTTTAGCGATCGACAGAACTGCGCTACTTCAGAAACTATAGATGCGCTCAAAGAACTTGCGCTTCTGGACATCGATGCATTTTCGAGAGTGCAATATCGTTTCTTCGAGTCGTGAGGAGCGTGTGCGTGATCAGTCCTTGATCTATGCAGTTATTCAATTCTTGCCATTTTTCCCCTGTCCAGACCTATATGCTGCTAAGCGGATTTTTAAATGTTCTTCTAAAAATGAAACGATAATCACCTTTATCGTAAGTTGTCGGTGCTGATGACAAAACATCATTTATTTGTTGGTTTGGTGCCACTGGTAGAGCTACCAGGAATGGCAGTTATGCAGTGTGCCAGTTGAGAAGCGGTACTGTTGGGGTTGGGGTCCTTTACCAAACTGGTGAAAAAATGAATTCAGATCCGGAGGCCATTTCTCTAAACGTTCCCTCTCTTGACCAACTCCTAGACATGATGGGAGGGAGTAATGGAGAATCCAGTGGCAGCGTGAACCCTGGTGCTGGGACCTTCTGAACTATAAAACTTGTGAAGTTATGCTAATTCAAGAAGGGAACCTTTGTTGACAGCAGTATTACCCCAACGAGCCAATGTAAACGTCTTAATTGCATTGTCTGTAAATTTGCAACAAACAAATGTACAGAGGTCTTACCTTTAATAAGTGGCCTTATAAAGGATTTTTTAAATCAAATTTAAGACCTTTTTAAGACCTAAACTTCACATTTCGGTCTTTAAACAATTTTTAAGAAAAGGAATGAGTCAAAAGTATAAATTATTATATAAATTTAAACAATTATTTAGGGATATAACGATTAACCGCGAGCCGGTTGAAAATCGATTCAAATATGTGACGATTCAAATCGGTCGAGATTCTAAACAAATCGCGATTCAATTAGGGACAGGAGTTTATATGAATACATGTCTGAGGGGAACTGACTGTCTTTAGAAAAGTTTAGATGGTATTTTTTCTTTTCCTCTTGCCTCTGTATAATGCATATTAAAGCTCATAAGTGCAGCGCTGCTTTGTTTACAGCCGAAGCCAAGGAAATGCTTTAAGCGCCACCTGCTGGCAGAGAGTGCATCTGCGTCTCGTTCAGCTCGTCTGCTGTTTCGGTTTCATGCAGATATTTTTATGTGTAGTTTCACAAAACTGAAGTCAAACCATTCTGTTTTTGCTTCAAATTTAGAAATTATACAATCTAATTTAGATTAAAAAAAATCCTCATGTTGCATGTATGCAGCATCTTTGTTTGGATAATGATTATTAAACATAATTATATCATTGTTTGGAAATGATTGCCTCTAATTTTAAATGGAAAGAGCACAGACAAAGCCTTATTTTGTTTATATGAAGATATTTCTTTTATTTGTGTTACTTATTTATTTGATTTGGGGCTTGTTTTAAAATTTTAATTTAGTTTTGTTATTTACATTTACATTATATTTAAATTGAGTCATTTAGCAGACGCTTTTATCCAAAGCGACTTACAAATGAGGACAATAGAAGCAATCAAAACCAACGAAAGAGCAATGATATACAAGTGCTATATTAGTATATTATTATAGTGTTATATTTCAATTTCACAAAGAAACATGCAGCATTTTGTCCAAGCAATAATAAAAGGACACATTTATTTATAATTTGTCATAAACCTCATTTTGTTCAAAATAAATAAATAAATCGTGAATCGAATCGAATCGTGAGTTGAGTGAATCGCCCCTAGAATAATCCCTACAATTATTATCAATCAATTATATTGAATTACATATATCTTAGTGTCTTAATTGTTTAGATTTTTATAATGCATTAGCTTCTTGTCGATCCACATTTAAATTAAAAATATTTTACATTTAAAAATATGGTGCAAAAATAGCAGATGGGCTTATTAAAAAAGCTAATTCGTTCTCTGCCAGCAGGTTTCGCTTTCGGAACGGTAG